TCCCTGAACGGGCCCTTCAGCCTCACGTCCACCTGCAATCCCTCCTGTGAATTCCCTCTGCATATGACAGCCAGAGATGTTTTCTAAAGCTGCAATAAAAATCCTGACAAATTTGTCCTTCTCTCTCCATCCAAACGGAACTACTTCTCCCATCTGCACTCTCACTGCATTTAAATATATGTCAAAATTATTCTAATTGTTGTTAAACTAATTGATCTATAGCTTTTGGTCCCCCTGCAAGTATAGAAGCTTCATGAGCTAAGCCCCAAGTCACTTCTGTTTGTTGGGTGTGGTACCTGGCAGGTAGACACTTAGTGTATGTTGAAGTGAATTTGTACTTATAAACTTAGGCCACCTCTAACAATGCTGTAATCTTCAAAAACTTTTTGGGAAGGTTACATATTTATTCTTCAACAATATGTAGTAGTATTATTGCCACTATCATAGTGGCATGCTGGATGTGGATGCCAGATGAGGACCCTGAACTCGAACTCACACAGCTTTAGAATGCATAGCTGGGCTTTGAACTCAGGTTTGCATGATTATGAAGCCCACATTTTTACTACGCTTCTCAACAGGTCTTTACTAAAGAAATACCACAGGGAAGGCACTATGTAAATTATTCTAACAAATGTGCTGTCCAAAACAAAATTAATATGTTCATGCATTTCTTTTATAATGGCAAATCTTCCATCTTTAAAAAGGTATCAAGTTTCTGGAAAGAGCCAGAAGATTCCAGTATCCGGGCAAAGGAAGGAGGCCAGATGCCTTGTTGGGGGACAGACCCTGCCAGAAAATGTGAGTATGCAACCCTAGCCCAGGAGGAACCTGACATCCCTCATGTGGCTCCTTAACTAGAAAGTTCTAGGAGTGCAGAATTTTAACTCTGCTTAGAGATACACAGCATGTGCATGTGTGCACACATGTGTGTATGTGCATGTGGATGCATGCATGTGTACATGCACACGTGGAGGGGACTGACTACCTCCCATCAAACCCCTGGTTGCACCCCTATGGGAACTGTGCTATTGTGTGCCTTGTCTGCCCTACTAAATTTTAAGCCCCTGAAGGAGCTCCAGCATAATACGAAGGCTGGGTCTATAAACTGCTGGACCCAACGTGATGACTAGGAGGGTAAGATGCCAATGTAAGGATTCTCCACCACCCTTCCAATCTCAGTAGACCTTGCTTGGGGTGAAGGCTCACTTTGCATGGACGCTCCCCACTCTGAGAGGCATTGCAGTGGCCCTAACTCAGCAGGCTCTGATCAATTCTAGTCCCACACCAGCACCCTCTCGCTGATCAGGCCGCCAGGATATACAACTTGAGTCCTGTTCCCAAGGATACCACACAGCAGAAAGAAAATATAAAGCCCACTGAAATATGAGGATGGCAGCAACCCCAAGAGCCAAAAGACTCTCCAGGCATCCTGTGTCATCATCTTGGCAAAAGCAAGAAAGACTTACAGTTCCTCCTTTGTACGGCAGGCACTGAGGACTCCACAGCTCCACATCCTAGATGTGTCAGCAGGAAACAAGCAGCACACACTGCAGGAGGAGTCCTGCCAGCTTTCACTGAGGATTCCACAAGTACTCCAAAGCAGCTACTAGATGACTAGTACTAGCTCGATGTGGACACGGTCGAGAGGGCCTGCCCACAGGGGCTCTGCCGCTGCTGGAACAACACACTCCCCTGCATTCAAGTGTGGTCTCCCTGTTGGCAGATAAGGCTAACATAGAACAAGAGAAGGTAGCATGTGCTCAGAGAGAGGAAGAGACAGATGTTCACTCAGGTGCCTATGATGGACCATTAGACATTTGAATGTGTCATTAGAGACTCTGAGCCAGACACCTGCTTTGGAATCCCAACTTTGAACTTTAGTGGGGCGAGGCCCTGAGAAAGCCAACTCCCTTCTCAGTGCCTCAGTTTCTCTATGTACTGTGATGAAGACTAACCTAATCATATGTGAGAAGCTCCTGGCACATCCTAAGAGCTCAATAAATCTAAAACCCTTTTCTTTTTAATTAATTCCTGTTGGCTGCATGTTTTTATATACCTTTGAAAAGCACTTATGACCCTAGCCAGTTTGTCTCAGTGAATAGAGCGTTGATCTGTGGACTGAAGGGTCCCTGGTTCAATTCCAGTCAAGGGCATGTACCTCAGTTGTTGGATCCTCCCGAGCCCCAACCTGGGTCATGGTGCATGCAGGAGACACACATTGATGTTTCCCTCTGTCTTTCCCTCTCTCTTCCACTCTCTCCAAAAATCAATGGAAAAATATCCTCAGGTGAGGATTTAAAAACAAGAAGAAGAAGAAAAAAAAGCATTTATCATACTTTCTATCCCCTTCTACAGGAAGGGCCCAAACAGTGTAAACTCCAACACACACAAAGGGAGCCCCTCACAGCCTGCAGCAAGCGTGTCACATGCTCACTTAAGATCAACAGCATTTTCCCATGTGAATATTAAACCAAACACATTCTTCTCTTTTTTAATGGTAGGGGTGAGGGTAAGGATGGCTTCCTTTTTCCTACGAACAGGTAAGAATCTTACCTTTCTCGTGGAGATTTGGCATGAGTCTGAAGTCTACCTACGGATCATGAGTGAGCTTCAGTTCAGTGGACACACAGCGCATCTGCTGAGGCAATAGGAACCATGCACATCTCCCACCGTACCAGACTCAGGGCGGCTGTCTATGGCCCTGGAGAGTTCTGTTGTTGGAAATGGGTCCTTCTGGGCCCTGATCTGCATGTTAGGGGCACTGAGATCAACCAGATAAGGTCGCTGTCCACCACTTAAGTGGAGGCCAACAAATAGCTAATTGCAACACAGCACTTAAAGTATCATCACAGAAGTATCTGCAGAGGAGAAATCATCTGACTCTACTTTAGAAGGGCCAAGAAGTTTCTCACTGAGGAGGCAACACTCTTTCAGCTCAAGACTGAGAATTCATGTGGCAGAGAAGGAGGCTAAGTTCTCAGCACGCAGCACGAGAGGACCCCAGGCACTAGACAGAACTATCCTGTGAGCAGCAGTGGTGCTGCCCAGCTGCAGCCCAGAGGGAACAAGGCCAGAAGAGGCAGGCAGGAACAGAACCCCAGAGATCCCAAATGCCTTCGCAAAAACGGTCTGGGCAATGGAGAGACTCTGGAGTTTTAATGAGGGACATTAATACTCAAAATAGCCTCTTCCCTAAGGAAGTCTCCTGGCGGTGTTAAAAGTAGATTGCAAAGGGGAGAGACACAAGATTAAGATCATTTGACCAATACACAAGAGATGATGAGGCCCGAAATGCAAACAGTGGTCATGAGGTTTCTTTATGAACAGAGATCACAGGATGAAAAGAATGTTTCTCTACTTAAAAAAGAAAAAAAGTGAGTGGGGACACAGGGAGGGCAGTGGGGAGGGAAAGCTGGCAAGTTCCATTGTAAACATGCTATGTATACAGTGGTCTCCCTAGGAGGCCGCTGGGTTTGCAGGTCAGCCCGAGGCTGAAGCCAAAGACAGGGATGTAGGAATCTTCAACATACAGGGAGCAGCTGAAGCCATGGGATGGGAAAGCCCGCCTAAAAATGTCTGCAACACTTCTCTGGGGTGGACCCTGGGAGGGGCCCAGAGACTGCAAAGAGGTGTAGTATGCACAGGCCACACCCTCCAGTCCTCACCATCTAGCTGGACACCAATGGCATCTAGTGACGCAGGTGGTACAATGCTAGTGCAAACAGAAGAGATCCACTTCCTGCATGATAGAAGCCATATTAGCCCAACTCTGCTGCAGAAAAACAAATGAATAATTCTGGACAAAATAGATTTAAAAAACAACTCTTGCCAAGCTGGTGTGCTCGGTGGTTGTTGAGCGCTGACCTATGAACCAGGTGGTCACGGTTCAATTCCCAGTCAGGGGGCATGCCCGGGTTGCAGCTAGATCCCCAGTGTGTGTGTGTGGGGGGGGGGGGGGGGGGCATGCAGGAGGCAGCTGATCAATGATTCTCTCTCATCATTGATGTTTCTATCTATCTCTTCTTCTCCCTTCCTTTCTGAAATCAATAATATATATATATATATATATATATATATATATATATATATATATATATATATTTTTTTTTTTTTTTTTTTTTTTTAAACAACTCTCTGAAGCACTTGGAGAACCAAACACAGGCAAAAGTTCAAGGATAGTTGATGTGTGGAAGGAAAAAATAGTACTGAAAGAGACTGCCGGTTTTGCCGAAACCGGTTTGGCTCAGTGGTAGAGCGTTGGTCTGCGGACTGAAAGGTCCCAGGTTCGATTCCGGTCAAGGGCATGTACATTGGTTGCGGGCACATCCCCAGTAGGAGGTGTGCAAGAGGCAGCTGATCGATGTTTCTCTCTCATCGACGTTTCTAGCTCTCTATCCATCTCTCCTCCTCTCTGTAAAAAATCAATAAAATATATTTTTTTTTAAAAAGAGACTGCCGGTTTTAATGGATTTTACCTAAGAATAGATCCCATATGGTACCACACTGAGCGCCTAGACATCAAACAGTTAGGGACTACCACAGCATCTGGAGTGCCAGGGGGATACCCAGAAAGGAGAGTCCCAGATCCCGCATATGAACTCTGCCCACGTCTCTGGCTAGGCCCAGAACTGCACACACATAGGACAAAACTTATGGTATGCGGTGAAAATGGTCCTTGAAGGGCAGTTGACAGCTTTAAATACCAATATTAGAAAAGAAGGTGCGCCAAATCCATGATCTGTAATTCCACTTTATGAAGCTGAAAAAAAGAAATGAACCTAAAACCCAGCTAATTAAATAAAAGTAAAAGAAATAATAAAAACAGGAACAGAAATCAATGAAATAGCAAATAGGTAAGTCAACAAAGTCAAAAATTGTTTTTTTAATTAAGTAATTAATTTATCTGTTTGTGTATTTATTTATTTAGAGGTATTTGCTATTCCACTTATTTGTGCATTCATTGGTTAATTCTTATATAGGCCCTGACCAAGGGATTGGACCTCTTGGTTCCTGGATTGAAGCTCAACTGCTGAGCCACACCGGCCAGCTTATCATCTTTTCTTGCAGTTCATTCCATCACCATTTCTTAAATATGTACTCTATGCCAGACCCTAAAGTATAAAGCATATTCCCTGCTTACAGTTTAGCTAAGAAGAATGGTAGATAAATAGCTAATTGCTCATTCATTTAGTGTCTCATTCATCAGATAGGCAGAGTGTAACAGTAAGTTCAAATCCAGCCTAGGCTACTGGCTATATGACCTCAGGCAAGTTATGTAACCTACCTGAGCCTCGATTTTCCTGGGGGAAGGGGCGGCAGCTATGTCAAGGTGTCACTGTGGGGGTTCAATGAAGTGACGATGACTGACATCTGACACACAGCAGTTGCTCAATGACTCCGTTCCCTTCCTCTATTTCCAGGTTCTAGAGCAAAGCCTTAAACACTCTTTGCAGAGGCTCCATTTTCTTTCCTCCATCTTTGATGAAAGAGGCACACAACAGGCCTTCAATAGGTGAAGGAAGTTGTTATTAATAGCATTAACATTTCCTGAGAACCCCTGAAGTGTCTGAAACTGGGCTACACATTGAAACCACAAGATACAGTCATTCAACAACAATTTGGGGAATCTATCATATGCTAATCACTGTTGGTGCAAAGTTAGGAAAGAAGGGGCTTCGAGCAAGAAAAAAAATGATATATATATATATATATATATATATATATATATATATATATATATATATATCTATCTATCTTCATTGAGCCTAGACCACATGTGTCAAACACAAGGCCCGCGGGCCAAATCTGTCCCGCCAGGCCTTGCAATGTGGCCCGCACCGCGCTGTCATCACTGCACTCCGCTGCGTTTCCATCACAATGACAGTTTATGACTGTTCAGTAAACCATTCGGCCCGCGATTTAGGCTGGATTTTAGATTTTGGCCCCTTCTCTGATTGAGTTCGACGATAAACGAAGAATAGGCCTTCCATTCCAGTAAAGGGGAAAGATGGGAGGAATGGCAAAGAATAAGCCAACTTCTGGGTTTTAGAGACCTGGGAGAGTCTCAGAGGAGACATCAAGTAGACCAGTGGTTATGCAGGCTGGAACCAAGGGGCATTCTGAGCTTAAAAACACAACTAAAACCCAGAGAGGAGACTTTTTCTGGGAAACCACAAAGACTGAAAAGAGAAGCTGAGTGTGTGAGACTCAGGGCCCAACATTTAAGGTGGGAAGAAGAGGACTCAGCAGATGAGGCTGAGGAGAAGTGGCAGAGATCTAGATGAGAGTGGCATCTTAGAAGTTAGAGGAAAGGAGTCCTCAGTGTTTGCACCCAAAGAAGGGTTGAAGAGGATGAAGCCCCTCACCAAGCTACTGATTTAGGCAGGTATTTTACACACCATGTTCCCAGGAGCTGCTGTAGCATAGGAGAGGCAGTGAGATGAGCCCTCCACTGCTATTTCAATCAGAGCAACTTCATTTTCACATAAGGCTTTTCTCTTTACCTCTCATCCCCCTTCTAATCACTCAGCAAATGCTACTGATTTTCCCTACTAAATATTTCCGGAACCATTCTCCATTTATATCCCATCCGTCATTCCGGCTCAGGTCATATTAACTGCCTCCTGGATTACTACAGCAGCTGGGAATTGCTCTTTCTTCCTTCAGTCTTATTTCACTCTGCAAAATTCCTCATACTGCAGCAAGAATCATCTTACCAAAACACAAAGCTGTATAAAAGCCTTCAACAGATTCACAATGTCCACAGAATAAAGTCCAAGTCTCCTTAAAATGACTTTAAATACCTCAATGATGTGGTTCCTGGTTATGCCCGAAATCTCATTCACTCTACTCCTGGCACTAAGTCACCCAGTCTCCTTTGCTGGTTGATTACTCCCTCTCTCTACCCCTCCAACCCCTACTTATTCAAGTCCCAGGTCTCACTGCTTCCCCTGATTCCTCAAGTCTAGATGTCTTCCCCATGGAGCACCAAGAGCTCTCCGCTTCCCCTCCCACTGTAGTCACTGGCTGGATCTAGTCTTAGCTCTTTTGCAAAAACCAGCCCCAGTGTAGGAGTGGAAGCTGTGGCCACACCCTTAAGGGGTCTTGCTAGTAGACTACTATTGTCAACAAAGTGTGGTGACAAATACCTGTTTTGGAGTCAGAAGACAAGATTATGAGTCTCTACTTTTAATTAATTAGATATAAGACCCTGGATAAATGATAAACTACCTCTTTGGGTTTCAGTTTTTCTACTTAAACTCAGGTTATAAGTATGCCTTCTTCATGTCATCATTATGACAATGCAATTTATAATACACATGAAGCGTCTAATAGAATGATATGCATTTGCCCAAACTCATAGAATTGCACACAACAAAGTTAAATTTTACTGTTTGTGTATTTCACCTCAATAATCTTGACTTTAAAAAATCAATTATAATTCACCACATTAAGGGAATAAAGGGGAAAAACACATGATCATCAATAGATTCTGAAAAATATTTGCCAAAATTCTAAATGCACTGTGATAAAAACTCAGTAACTTAGGCATAGAAATCTGACAAAGAATATTTACGAAAACATAGAGCAAACATCATACTTAATGGTGAAATATTGATCATGTTCTCCCTAAGTCTGCAATTAAGAGACAAGCTCCCACTAAAACAGGGGTGTGGAAACATTCTTCTGCCAAAAGCAATTTGGATATTTATAACATCAGTCTCAGGCCCTACAAAATTATCAACTTAAAAATCAGCCTGCTATATTTGGTCAAACATTCAATTAACTCACCCCTAATGTGTTGGCAGGGCCAGACCAAATGATTTAAAGCTCATGAGCCAGACATTCTCCATCCCTGTACTTTAATAATTTCTATTCTAAATTATAGCAGAGGTCCTGTCAGTGCAACAAGACAAGAAAACAAATGAAATTTTTAAAAATTCCAATCTTTAGAATGTAAAGGAAAAAATAAAATTGCCGTGATACTGAGATAACCAAACCTATGTAGAAAAAAATAAGAAGGCTACACAATTTTTAAAAAGTAACTGTATTTCTATATACAATCAATAAACAAATGATGAAAAGCAATATGAGAGAGAGAAAGAGAGAGAGAGAGAGAGGAAAAGGAAAAGGGAGAGAGATTGGCAAGAATGTTAAGATGTCAATACTCTGCAAAGAAATGATGCTCTGACATAATTATTCTAAAACTGATAGAGGAATGCAAAGGATCTAGAAAACAACAAAATTGTTGGTTAATCAGATCTACTATAAAGATATAATAATAAGGAATATTATTGGCACAAGGGGGGGACCAATTGAAATGAATAGAGTCCAGAAACAGCTTTGCATAAATAGTCAACTAATTAATGACAAAGGTCCTCCTGAAATCCAGTGAGGAAAGAATTATCTTTTTAATAAATGGATATAGCCATGTGATATCTTATATAAAATTTAGTTCACAGTAGATCAGAGACTTCAATGAGAAAGATTTTTTTTTAAAAGAATTTGAAATATAGTATTAGTGCAATCCCTATCAAAATCTCAGCTGCCTGCCAAAACCAGTTTGGCTCAGTGGATAGAGCATCGGCCTGCAGACTGAAGGGTCCCGGGTTCGATTCCGGTCAAGGGCATGTACCTTGGTTGCGGGCACATCCCCAGTACGGGGTGTGCAAGAGGCAACTGATCAATGATTCTCTCTCGTTGATGTTTCTAACTCTCTATCCCTCTCTCCTCCTCTCTGTAAAAAATCAATAATATATATATAATATATATATTTTTTTTAATCTCAGCTGCCTTTTTCCTTTTGCAGAAATAGAGATATATATCCTTAAATCGTATAGAATCTCAAGGGATCCTATATAGTTAAAATAGTCAAGAAAAAAAACGAAACTGGGGGATTTATAACTCTTAATTTCAAAAGTTACTACAAAGTTTAGTAATCAAGATAGTGTGTGAAACCTATATAATTTTATTAACCAATGTTACCCCAATAAAGTCAATAAAATTTCATAAAAAGACAGTGTGATACTGATATAGGGATAGACATAAATTAATGGAATGAAATTCAGAATCCAGAAGTAAATTCTTAGATTTATAGTGCATTGATTTTGACAAGGATGTCAAGTCCAAACAGTGAAGAAAGAGTAGTCTTTTCAACAGATGGTGCTGGTACAATTGGATGTGCATATATTGTACATAAGAAGGAAGTTGGACTCCTACTCCTCAAACATATATAAAACTAACTCAAAATGAATCAAAGACCTAAATTTCAGAGCTAACACTACAAAACTCTTAGAAGAAAACATAAGATAAACCTTAGTGACTTTGAATTTGGCAATGGATGCTTAGATATGACACCAAAAGTACAAGTAACCAAAGAAAAACTAGACAAATGGAACTTCATTAAAACTAAAACCTTTGTGTTTCAAAGGATATCATCAAGAAAATGAAAAGACACCCATAAAATGGGTGAAAATATTGCAAATCATTTCTTTCATATGGGTCTTATAGTCATAATATATAAAAACTCTTACAGCTCAAAAAATAAAAAGGCTAATAACTTAAAAACGCAAAGGATTTGAATAGACATTTCTTCAAAAAAGATATACAAATGGCAGATATGTACATAAAAAGGTGTATTTATATTACTAATTATTAAAGAAACACAAATCAATACCACAAAGATACCACTTCACACCCACCGGAATAGGTAAATTCTAAAGGACAGACAATAACAAGTTTTGACAAGGATGTAAAGAAATGAGAACCTTTATACACTGCTGGTAGAAATGTAAAATAGTACAGCCACTTTGGAAAACACTCTTATCATTGTAAAAGTTAAGAGTTATCTTATGTGTTAATAACTCTATTTGAGTAATAATTATACAAGTGATTAAAAATACATGTCAATAAGAACTTGTTTATGAATGTCTTTATAAGCATTATTCATAATAATCAGACACTGAAAACAAACGAAATACCATCAATTGATGAATGGATATACAAAATGT